TTGGTAATCGCTTTGCGAAGTTAATTGAGCTTTACAAGATCGCGGGTTCTGTTCGAAAATCCGGAATATTCCTAAGTGGATTAAGGCGAGCTTAAGACTGGCTCAAGAAGTTGTCCGGCTAAAGTGATAATACATTTAATAACCAGATTGCGGTTTGTTCTCTGCTTAATCGTTGCAGAATTTTGAGGATTTCAAATCAGGATGTATCCCAAAAAGTGCAGATAAGAAGAAGAAGCGTAGCAAATCTTAATATAAGAACAAAATCGTTGTTTTAAAAATATTATATATAAATTTCATCTTACAATTAATAGGAAAAGAATAAACAATAATTCTGACAGAATTTGTGCAACGTAAGAAAATTTATTACATTTTTATTGTGTTGAAAATTGATAATTTTTGAAAGTCTTTGATGTACCGTAAAGTACACTTTTATTAAAACTATACACTTTTATTTATCCTGAAATAATCTTTATAGAATTGTATTCGATATTACGAAAGAGAAGCCTTAAGCCTTATAAGATTAATGCGATTGAAATAAAAATTTGTTGGATTGTAAAATAAATTTATCAAAATGAGCATTGATTGGTATATAAAATTGGATCGAGTCAAATCGGTGAATAGAGGAGGGAATTGTGTATTCTGTCGCATTTCCGAGATTGCCGAGTCGCAGGAAAAAAAACCACTCTCTACGGACTTATTTATCAAACGAAAGTTGTAACGAAAACATGATGCCAAACGAAATCTCGAGCAATATGAATCTCCGAGAACGATATCGGAATAATCCCCCGTATCTTCTGAATATTCTATCGCAATATTTGTGAACATAGATTTCGTTCCCTGGAAGTGTCCTTTCGCGAGTCTTTTAATCGCATGTGAGCACAAGCAAAAAATCGCCCAGGGGCGCAATAAATCGCTCCTTTATCGCAATTCTCGAAACTATATTGCGTTTTGTTAATGCTCGCTGGAACTCTCGTTCCAGTCGCTCTTCGCGGGAACATTTATTCATGTCCAATTTATCGCGACGAGCTTATCGCGATTAGCATTCTTCTTTCACGACACTTTCGTGCACTATGCATTACAAATCGATATTCAATTTAAAGAGAAATGAGATTCTCATGCACGAATGAATAGTCTATCAATTTGTTTATTTATCTTGAAGATAAGATTTAAAAAATTTAAAAGAGCATAATATCGCAAGGAGAGTTCAACTCCATTTTTTTAATTTAATTAAAAAGGAAAACCGTAATTAATTTTGAAAACACGAATAATATGCAGATTTGTTTATTTATTCTGACAATAATAAGGAAAAATGCAGCAGGATGTAAACCGACAGAATTTATGAGTTGAAAATCGGAGGGAATAATATATCGCAGAAATAGTACCAAAGTAAATTCGATACTTGAACAAAGCCGTATTAACAACGGGAACATAGATATCAGTATGCATAACGCATCGCTCGAGATATGAGGGTGCAAAAGAGATTTTTTTACAAACTCTTTTTACTATTCAACTCCTTTTGCATCTTTAAATTCCACATATGTGATTAAAATGAGTTAATAGGATTAGCTGGAAAATATATGAGAAATGTACGCAGAATTATTACAATTATTACAATTAACTATAATTTGATACATTTGACAAACGCATACTTTAATAAACACTATTTAATTCTCCCAATTAAAGGACATTTATTATAATTAAATTCAATTTTATATGTAAAGCAATGTACAAAAAACAAAATTTGATTTCCTTCATAAATGCAATTTAATTTTTAATTAATTGGGATTCTTTCAACTACTACATAAATCCGCTTTCACATATTTGATAATACAGCTTTCAATAAATAAAATCTTCTTAGTAATTAAACAAAATTATTTCAACTAAATCTGAAAATTGTCAATTACCTTGCTTCATGAATCGTAGGTCCTAATTAGTTCGATTGTTAATTTTAATTAGTAGTTTTTGCAATTATCGCGACGATATTATGAATCTCGGAATAAAGTCAGATTATTTTAAAGCAGAATTAAAATTTAAAAAAATATTCTCTCTATCATAATCTCCAATTAGCAATTTATAGAATGTTGTTTACAGAATAGAAATTTATTTATATTACATATAAATAAATATGATACATTTATTTATATATATAATATAAATATTCATATTATACATTATTTTTTTCAAGTTATTTTTTACTCATAAACATTTTTTCTCTCTTTTCAATTACATCAATTTTCAGAAACACATATATTGATTTGCGCAATTAAATATTTTTAAAACATTTTTTTTTCATCTATTTATAGCTCGCATACACTTGTTCACTCTAACAATATTTCGAACAAATATATACCACGCAATTTCAACAAATCTCTCTCTTTCCTGATAAAAATATCTTCATGACACTTGTGTCTCAATGTTTATCACCAGAATTTACTGTTCCCAGATTTTTCACGAAAAAACATCCACGACGTAAAAGTCCAGGAGATATAATTTTAATGACATATCACACTTGGATAAAGTGAGAACAGTTTGACATTTCTAGCATCTTGGTTGGTTTTTAAAAATTTAGTTTCAGAGAAAAACTAATAAGAGATTCGAAAGAATCGCATAAAAATACTGTAGCATCAGTTTTGAAAGGACAGAAAGGGTCATCAATTATTTATTGATAAGACATTGCATCTCTCGCGTGCATCTGATATAAGGGGCGACGACGAAGGACGAACAGGTGTCCCGATGTGGGCAGGCCGTGCGGCAACGCTTGCGCGTCGCAAAATTCTCGCCGGGGGTTGAGAAGCACCGGCGAGACAGCCGGTGGGGGTGGCGGTGGCGAAATGAAAGCCAGTGGGCTAGTAGTCCACGGCGAAGCAACCCCCGTGGATCGCGTAGTAGTTCGCCCTTCGCGCTCGGTTCCGAGGTCGACCCGCGAATCACTCGCCCGTCGCCACCCCCGACCTGTTATCAGAGACGCGCGCGTTTGAAACCACCGTGGAAAGCCCTTCGGGACCCGTAGAGTGTCCGTTCGCCATGGAGGAAAGTTCACCGAACAATGTGCGTCCCGATTCTGCGGTTTTCCGAAATATCCGGCAAATTTTCGTTCCCCGAGTTTCCGTTAACTCCACTTGCTCAATTGGAATTCCTGCAAACTGCGAAAATTCCGGACCCTTCGTCTTCTAATTTATTTAAATTCTATTAAAATTAGTTTCCTTATTTTATTTATTCTAATACTACATTTAGTTTCTCGAATTTTTTCTGTCCTGCAAAAAATATTAGTGCCTTTATTAAACCCATCCGTTTTTATCTATAAAAAAAAATTATATGGAAATTTCAAAATTTTAGAATTGTCAATTTTTTTTAATTTTTAATTACATACATATATCTTTGTATTTAAACAAAATCTTTGGAAAATTGTTCCTTTGTTTCTTAATTAAACTAATTTCCATTATGTATAAATCTCTAGAGAGAGGTTTTTTTCAAAACCTCAAAATCTTGATTAAACTCCTTTACTTTTGGCTAATTTAATCTATTTTGACAGTTTAATTCATTTCTTTGAAAGAACCTCTAAAAAGTTTAAATTGCTTAACAATTTCTATTAAAGCTACTGAAGACTTTCTTCGTTTAAATTCTTGAAATCATGAAAAAAAAATAAACTAGATAAGATCTTAGAGTTATAACGAACTTTTTAGAATTCATTTTACCAATTTATTTAATATTCTCTAATTTCAAAAAAATTTTTTGTTTTATGTGTTTGTAGCTCTTAAGACATCAATTTTCTTGTTTTTAATTTCCTAAAAAACACTCATTAAAACTCTGACATTTTCAATTCCCAAAACTGTTAAATTTTGCGATTTATCGCCAATATAGAATTTTAAGGCCATTAATTGTTCTTTTTCTGATTTGACACTCCACATTCATACAAATCATAAATAAATCTAAGACACATAAAACGCTTTCTGCTCCGAGATTATCGAAAATTTTCCGAGATTATCTACACTCAATTAAAGTGGCGATAGGTTAATTCTAGAAAAATTTGAAAGTACGTTAATGTATACTAATGACGATAATATTCGCTTAAGCGATCTGCTCATCGATGTAAAACCTGTTGAACACGCAATCCCCATTTTCCATCGATATATTACCCGGTATATCGGATCAGTCGCATCGATGGAATTGAATCGCTATCGATACTCGTAATTCGTGGAAGGCGCAGTCGGAATGGCCTCTTCCGTCTTTAGGAAAAAGGTCTTCTTTCAGAAAATATTTTATGATTTTACAATCAAGGAAAAATTGATTCAGACTTTTAAGGAAAGTATTTCAAGATCGGAATGTATAGTGTTGTAATATAAGAGTTGTATAAAATTTGTAAATCACTGGAGTATCCTCCTTTAAAATCAAATGATTGGATTTTTAAGATACTCGTAATTTTTATATTTAGTTACTTGGATTCCCGAATGAATATTTCTATATTTACAATTTTATTATAAAATTTCGAATCTTTCAAATACTTATAGTTTATCTACAGATTTTCAAAGTCCATCAATTTTTAATTTGTTACATTCTCGACTCAGCAATCTTCAACATAAATTCTTGTTTCGCTCAAATTTTTATTTCGTAAATTCCCAGCATTTTCTGAATTTTTCATCTTCAATACCATACCTTCCTGAGCTTCCGTTCCTCGAATTTTTGGCTCTAAAAATATTTCATTTTGATCAATTTCCTTTCTCATAGTGCGGTAACGTTTTTCAATTATAGCTCATTTAGTTATATCTATCTCTTGTAAATCTCTTGTAAATCTTCAATTCCTTCAAATTTCACAACTCCTCTAATTCTCCGAAAAATATTTTCGACTATTAATTTTAACATAAATCATCGTTACTTCGATAATTCTCAACTTGTAAAAAATCTTTGTATCCCGACGATTCTGCGATAGTGCGCTTTCAAATACAGAGTCCTCGCGTCCCGTGAAAGTGTGCGTTTTGGTGGGTGAAAGTTTTGACTGAGCGATGACGAGATCGACGACTGTGCAGGTCGTCTTGACGGATTCTTATGATTACTCGTTATGGGTTGCCGTTTCCTCGAACGGCAGCGAAATCGACTTGGAGACGACGAGCACGAGTCCCGCCGGAAATCAGAACACGGAAGAGCTCAACAATTGGTGGGCAATGCTGGCACTCGTCTTGGTTTTGGGAACAGCTGCAGGGAATATCCTAGTTTGCCTGGCGATCGCTTGGGAACGACGGCTACAAAATGTTACTAATTATTTCTTGATGAGCTTGGCCATCACGGATCTTATGGTCGCTATCTTGGTGATGCCACTGGGGATCCTTACACTCGTTCGTGGTGAGTTTACTACGATATAGCTTACATAAAGTGTAGGAGAAGATGAGTCCCTGGGAGTTAGTAAAGCTTGAAACCAAAACTGTACGTTCTCACAAAGGAGACGTAAAATTTCAAGCAACACTTCACGTATAACATTTATTATATTGTATAATATTTACAATATTTAATATAATTTGTAATATTTAATACGCAACGTTAAGTAAAAATGTATCGACAAGATTAAACACGTATGAGTGGAAAATGTCATTCGGCCAAGGCGGTTCTTCGTGTCTAATAATTCTCATGAATTTATACAATTTCCAGTGCAAGTAATCCGTGCGCTAATTATTTATCGGTCTTAAATATAATCCTAAACTGAAACTGGAGTAGTAATATCGCACGCTTAATCGACGAGTAATTAATATTATTGATGCAAATATAAGCATTTTAAATTAAAGGAAGTATTTAAGAAAATCTACGGACCAATAAAACAATTTTCAGTACATGCTCATAATGCAAACGTTTCGACTTCTATCAGATCATCCTCAGTGTTGTTAATTTATTATATAAACCGCCAATAATTAAGTAAGTAGGATACATATTTAGAAATTTATGTAATATATATTTCTTCTTTGTGTTATTTACTTGATCCTTGTGCAACAAAATATATTCTTGTTATATGAATTGAGAAATGAATATAAACAGACAGACACACTCCATTAATCTAAAGA